ATATAAATATATATTCATTTAACTAAATAATTTTGTTTTCTGTTTTAGATTGGTATATGTTGGAAGAACAGGCGCTGGCAAATCGTCCTTGATTGCGGCAATATTCCGTTAGAGCCCGAGTTGAAGGATCTATAACAATCGATGGCATCGATACGGCTACAATTTCTTTGAATAACTAAGATCGAAAGTGTCCATCATTCCACAAGATCCTGTACTATTTTCTGGAACATTGCGAAGGTAGTTTTGAATTTGAAAAAAAATTCAATGATTAAAAGTTTTGCAAATTTGTTCTATAAAAAAGTCCTGACGGAGTTTCAATAATTTTATTATGTTCAATAATATATTATATATTATTGCTGTTGATATATGATTAGTAATAATTTGAGCTAATTTATATTTTTTAGAAATCTTGATCCATTTGAAGAATATTCGGATGCCGCCGTATGGACGGCACTGCATGAGGTGAACTAGGAGAATTGGGTGCAAGTGCTTTGGGTCTTCAAGCTCCAGTTATGGCAGGCGGGTCTAATTTCAGTGTCGGACAAAGGCAACTTCTATGCTAGCCAGGGCTATTCTAAGAGAGAATAAGATCTTAGTACTGGACGAAGCGACGGCCAATGTTGACCCTCAGTAAGTTTACCATTATGTATGCACTATTGATTATTGTTGTTGATGTACTATTTAAGTAATACTTGGAATTGTTTTTTTTTGTAGAACTGATATATTAATCCAAGGACGATTCGTCACGTTTCGCCGAATGTACAGTTCTCACGGTCGCTCATCGTCTTCACACCGTCATGGATTCTGATCGGGTGTTGGTTATGGATGCCGGCCAGGCTGCAGAGTTTGCTTCTCCTATAGAATTGTTAAATGTCAAAGATGGATTTTCCGATCCATGGTGGATCAAAGTGGTCGACAAGAAGCGGAACAACTTATGGCAATTGCTAGGAAAACGGCTGAAACCAAGTCCATACAAGTTCTTTGGAAACGATGATCTGAATGCTGTTGGGTAATATCA